CCATGTGCTTGAGGTTGCCCGTCAACCCCATGCCCTTGGCGACCGTGATGGCCGACTTGTTGTCCACCCGGAGGACGGTCGGCTTCCCAGCATCCAGCTGCTGGAACTACCGCCTCTTCCCCTACCGCACTGCCCCGCTCCCCCCCCCCGCCTCTCTTCCTCGCACCAGGTGCTGCTGTGGTAGACCCCCTTCCCCCTTCAGGGTGCCGCTCCCTCAGGTGTGTCCCAGGTAGACCCGGTTGAGCCTGTCGAGGTAGCTGTCGACTCTCGTCCTGCTAGGGGTGCTGAGCCTGAGCGTGCGGAGCCTGGGGGTGCGGAGCCTGGGGGTGCGGAGCCTGGGGGTGCTGAGCCTGAGCGTGCGGAGCCTGGGGGTGCTGAGCCTGCGGGTACGGAGTCTGGGGGTGCTGAGCTTGAGGGTGCTGAGTCTGGGGGTGCTGAGCCTGAGAGTGCTACGTCTGAGGGTACTGAGCCTGGGGGTCCTGCGACTGACCGTGCTGCGCCTGGAGGCGCTCCCTCTTCACAGCAGCTGCGGGAGTGGTACTCGCGGTACTGCAGCCTCAGGAGGGGCGCTTCTGGGGCTAGGGGTGCTGCTGGAGCTGGTGCTCGTGGTTCCCCACCTAGGCGGGAGCCGCCCTCTCCCCAGCGGCTCCGAGAGTGGTACGCTCGGCGCTGTAGTCTCCGGAGTGGCGCTGCTGGTGCTTTGGACCCTGGAGCTGGAGCTGCTGCTGGTGCCACGGACCCGGGAGCTGGAGCTGCTGCTGATGCCGCGGACCCTGGAGTTGGAGCTGCTGCTGGTGCTGCGGACCCTGGAGCTGGAGCTGGTGCTGGTGTTGCTGGTGCAGGAGCTGCTGGTGGTGCTGCTGGAGGTGCTGCTGGTGCTGGAGCTGCTGGAGGCGCTGCTGGTGCTGGAGCTGCTGGAGGCGCTGCTGGTGCTGCTGGAGGTGCTACTGGTCCTGGAGCTGCTGGAGGTACTGCTGGTGCTGGCGCTGCTGGAGGTGCTGCTGGTGCTGGAGCTACTGGAGGTACTGCTGGTGCTGGAGCTGCTGGAGCCGCTGGTTCTGGAGGTGTTCGTACTGGAGGTACTGGAGCTGCTGTGACTGGAGCTGCTGCGGGGGTTGGAGCTGGAGGTACTGGACCTACTGGGGTTGCTGGTGGTGCTGCGGGAGTTGTTGCTGGAGACCCTGGGGCTGAGGGTGCTGGTGCTGTCTCTGCTGGTTCAGGAGGTGCTGCGCGGCTGCGGCCGTACTACGTTCCGCTCCTTCAGCAGGTTCTTGGCCTCCCGCCCTCCACTGGTTATACTCCTCCCCTACTGAGTCCACCACCTGTCCAGTCGCAGTCACAGTTACCGCTTGCCTCTCCGCTGCCTGGTCCTTCTCCTTACGCTGGGCCGACTAGAGGTCTTACGGAGCGTCGTGAGCCTGAGTCTCGTCCTGCGTTGCCTGAGCTGTCCCGCGTCGCCTGAGTCTCGTCCAGAATCGTCTGTCCGCGCTGTCCGCGCTGGTCGTCGTGCTCCGCGTCAGCGTCCTCCTCCTGTACTTGGCACTCACTATATGAGTCTGCGTCCTTCCACTGCTCCACAGCGTGTCCCTCTGCCGTCTCCTCCTGCGTCCTCTCTTCTTGACGGTCCGGACCCGGAGTCTGACTCCCTTCGTGCTGCCAGTCCTACTGTCACGCGTTTCCTCGCCACTGTTGTCACTGACCCCACCTTTGAGTCCTCTACTGCGTCTGCTCTAGTCGCTGAGCTTGTTGACTTTGCTGCCGCCTGTCGTCTAGACTACGCCGCTAGCCTTGTTGCTGAGTCTGAGTCTGTCTGTCCTCCGTCCGTCTGGGGTGAGTGTGCTCTTGGCATGGACGTCCTTGAGGACAGACAGGAGGAGTTTGAGTGCTTTGCCGCTGCTTTACCTCATCTCGTGTCCATGCTGCTTGCCCCTGAGCGAGACCCGGATGCACCAGACATCCCGACCCCGCGCTCTTACGCAGAGGCGATAGAGGGTCCCTACTCCTCTCAGTGGCAGACAGCCATGGACGCAGAGATGGCTTCCTGGAAGTCCACAGGCACCTACGTCGACGAGGTTCCCCCGCCTGGGGCGAACATCGTCAGTGGCATGTGGATTTTCAGGGTGAGGCGGCCGCCGGGTTCTCCACCTGTCTTCAAGGCGCGTTACGTTGCACGAGGCTTCAGTCAGCGAGAGGGAGTTGACTTCTTCCAGACCTTCTCCCCTACCCCGAAGATGACCACTCTTCGGGTTCTGCTGCACGTCGCCGCTCAGCGTGACTACGAGCTCCACTCTCTTGACTTCAGCACTGCGTTCCTACAGGGCAGCCTGCACGAGGAGATCTGGCTGCGCCGCCCACCTGGCTTCACTGGGTCGTTCCCTCCTGGTACCCAGTGGAGCCTCCGGCGGCCAGTCTACGGTCTCCGCCAGGCACCCCGTGAGTGGCACGACACACTGAGGACTACTCTTGCTGCTCTTGGGTTTGCTCCTTCTACTGCCGACCCGTCGCTGTTTCTACGCACCGACACCACTCTGCCGCCGTTCTACGTTCTCGTGTACGTAGACGACTTGGTCTTTGCTACTGCTGACACTGAGGCACTCGCCCACGTGAAGTCGGAGCTGCAGAAGAGACACACGTGCACAGACCTGGGTGAGCTGACAAGCTATCTTGGCTTGCGGATCACCCAGGACAGAGCACAGCGCACCATTACCTTGACTCAGTCACACATGGTGCAGCAGGTCCTTCAGCGCTTCCGCTTCACGTACTCCTCGCCTCAGTCCACTCTTCTGCCTACCGGTCACTCGCTCTCAGCTCCACCTTCGGACGAGTCCGTAGAGCCGAGTGGCCCGTACCCAGAGCTTGTGGGCTGCCTCATGTACCTGATGACCTGCACTCGACCTGACCTTGCATACCCTCTTAGCATCCTCGCACGCTATGTCGCTCCTGGCCGTCACCGGAAGGAGCACATGGATGCCGCTAAGAGGGTGTTGCGCTACTTGTGCAGTACGTCGGGCATGGGGCTTGTGCTTGGAGGACGGGCTCGAGTTGTCCTCACTGGTCACGCTGACGCTTCTTGGGCTGACGGCTTGACTACGCAGTGGTCGTCACATGGTTACACCTTCAGCCTTGGCTCCGGCTCTGTTTCTTGGCGGTCTACCCGCTCGTCTTCTGTTCTCAGCTCCAGTTGTGAGGCTGAGATCTACGCAGGGGCCATTGCTGCACAGGAGTTACGCTGGCTCACCTACCTGCTGACTGACCTTGGAGAGCCGCCTCGTTCTCCTCCAGTTCTGTACGTCGACAACAAGGCCATGATTGCCTTGTATCAGGAGCACAGACTGGAGCACAGAACAAAGCACATCGCTCTGCGCTACTTCCTTGCTCGAGAGTTGCAGCAGCGTGGTCAGCTTCGTCTTGCTTACGTGGCCACTCGGGCCAACACTGCTGATGTGTTCACCAAGGCGCTTCAGCCTTGTGATCATCAGCGTTTCTGTACTGTTCTAGGCCTTGTGCCTACTGTGCCTCACTTGCTTACTTCTTGACTCTACTTGTACTGTGATCTCTATATATATGTACCTGCATGCTTACACTTGCTAGGTTGTGATCACTGTACCTCTTGTTATATTATCAAACTGCATGTGAACTGGTCTTGTGACCGCTTGCTTGTGCTCGGAATTTGTGTGGTTTCCTTGAGATCCATCTTGAGCTTGCTTTGCTTTGCTTTGACTGGTCTTGTGACCATCTGGTTGTCTCCCACTTCGCCTATGGGGGTGTGTCAAACATAATACATGTTTATATTGTGTAGGCTATAGTGGGTTTAGCCTTAGAGAGTACAACATTGCTAGGGTTTCCTATTTGTATCACCCTACTGTCTAGTTCATTCCATTCTCGTTCACTTCTAGTTTCTAAGAACATGTGCCGCCTGAAGTACAGTGTCGGTTGCTGCTGTTGCTCTGAGTTTTTTGCCGACTATAGTTGCAGGCACAGCAGTGACCCTATCGGTAACAGTCTAGTCGTAGGCGTATGTTTCAAACTTTTTGGGTGTCTGAAAAACGACTCCCGTCCCACACTGTGCCGCTCCTGCCGAAAACGCCAACGATGCACCCCCCTGCAGCAACACCTGCTACACCCGGGCGGGACGACAGTAGACTCCCGCTTTCTTCGGGCAGTCGCCAGATCGCCTCTCCTCGCCATTGCATTTTCCAACGCAAATCACCATGCGCCTGACTTGCTTGGCCGGCTTTCGTTTCCCACGTGAAGCCACTCTGAAATCTTCGCACACAGTGACGACGATCGCCACTTGCCGAAGACCTCCAAAATTCTCGTGTGCAACGTGACGAAGAAGCCCAATGCCACTTGCCGCACGCAACAACTCCGAACTTATCGCGCGCAGTTGACGACGATGTAGTGACGCCAACTCGCTCCATGTTTGTTTCCGACAACTTCGGACGTGCGATGACGACGATGTCAGCTGCTACACCAAATTAACTCCGAAGCTGACGAAATCGCACGCAGATAACTCACGCATTTAAAACTGACATATAGAATAGTGAACACGGGTGTTGCGGAGTGGGTTTGCAAAACACTGTTTCAAACCTTTCGTGCGTGCAGATCCAACTCATTTGATTAGCTCCCGCCAAAAACGAAAATGTTGCATCTTACATAAATGAGTCGCCTTAAACGTGGTGCACCCGCATGACGGCTACACGACGATCGTTGGGCCCAACTCCAACTTCAAGTTGGGCCTAGGTTCACTACCTCTTTCCACTCTAGTCTCTAGTTTTGCCAAGCTTAGAATATATGAAAACGTAGGCGAGTTTACATAGGCTAAGACCATTGTTATAGAGTTAATTCGGACGCGTCTATTTGTGGCCTAATGGCAAGGGATCTTTCGCGTCTCGAAGCGATTTATGCCTCGAGATTTTTTTAGTGAACGCGCTCGCCCCGAAACGCCCTCTCGTCGCTCCGCCCATCACCCACCTCGTCACCTTCACGTTCGCGGAGGAATGCCCTCGCGGCGGCCTTATTCCGTCCCCGCCCATCACCCAGATCGTCGCATTCGCGCTTGCCTCGAAACTTTCTCTCGTCGCCCACCTCGTTTTTCTTTTCCCGTCCCATCGCCCTCGCGCTCCCCCCTCCTGTCCCGTTGCCTTCACATTCACCCTTCCCGTCCCGTTGCCGACAAGTTCTCCCCATCCGTCCCTCCCCTTTGCCTTCGCGCTCTCCCTTCCCGTCCCATCACCTTCGCGCTCTCCTTTCCTGTCCCGTTGCCTCTGCGCTCTCCCCTCCCGCCCCGTTGCCATCGCGCTCTCCCCATCCGTCCCTTCCCGTCGCCCTTGTTCTCTCCCTTCTCGTCCCATCGCGGTCGCGCTCTCCTTTTCCGACCCCTCGCCTTCTCGCGCTCCTCTCCCGTCCCGTGGCCTTCACGCTCGCACCATCAGTCCCTTCCCGTTGCCCTCACGTTCCCCCCCTCATCCCGTCCCCCTCGTTTCCCCTTTCTTCCCGTCGCCAACATGCTCTCCCCTCTCGTCCTATCGCCGTCGCTCCCTTGCCTCACATTACATCACCCTCGATGCCAGCTCGCTCCACCGCCCAATGCACGTCCCGTCATCCCCTATGATTCGCGCTCGCCTACTCGTCTCCCTACTCGCGTCTGCCCTCCCGTCGCCCTATATTTCTCCTCTCAAGTCACCTTATCCGACTCGGTCTTTTCCCCTCAGTATGCTTATCTATGCTGTTTTTCCTTTTCTATGGCAGTTGTTCCGCGAGAATTGCATATGATATTCGCATGTGATTTTTTCACTCTTGCAGAATTAGTATTTCACGTCGCAATCTTGTGATACATTTGGACATGCTTGCGACCTCTCGAATTTGGAAAGGGTCGTTCGTTCGGTATCAGACGAAAGTAAACAAGATTCGACGTTTACGTCGGAAGGGTTGCGTAGAGTTGTATTATGTGTAAAAAACATTATGATGGAGTAAATTATACTTATGGAAGCAAATCACTACTTCCTATTTACTTAAAGCTGCAGTATACATTTGTCAGCCGGGTTTAGGGTTTTTATTGTGTGCCTCACAGCTTTGGGGCAACTTTTCAAATTTCAAAAGTTTTTGAACCCAACCTTTCAAATGTATACTGCAGCTTTAAAACGGGACAAGCTCGATAATTTCTTATTATGGAGGATAATATTTTTAGATGTTTCATCCCTTAAAATTGTTTTGGGTGTTAATTAATATGGTACAACTTTCTGTGCTTTCACCTACATCATATTCGATTGTTCTATCAGGTTACTACAGTTGGTTCTATGTTTGCAACTACTGTACCGTATATGATGTGTGAGCTAGTTGGATGTCGTGGCACGCATGTGTTTTCACGTGACACTAGCTTCCAAATACAGTGTGTGCGTGTTTCTTTCTAGAAATTGCCAAGTGCCCATTCACCCTTGTGCTGATATTTCCAAGTACATACGTATTAAAAGTTTCTGTGCCTCGTTCTGCGCTGGCAGAAAATATCTCGCCAGCTCCACGACAGCCCCAACCAAGCCCAAGACACCCGTCCCTTAGACGCTCTTCATTTCTTGGTTCATGTTCTTGGTTCCTCTCGACAAGCACCTGCTTAGCTCACTCCTTTTCCTCCCCACCCCAAGTTCTTCTCTAGCTATCCCTCCTAACACCCCGCCGTCGCCAGTACAGCCCACCCAGCCGTCGCTCTCCCTCCCATCCCCCGTATCTCTCCCGGACTCCCCCCCGTCACCTCACCCTCCCACTCCGCCATCGCCTCTTCCTCCCACCTCACAATCACTCCGTCCCACCCCGCCATCTCCTCTCCCTTACCTCCCCGCCGTCGGCTCTCCCTTACCTCCCCGACGTCGCCTCTCCCTCCTCCCCGTCGTCGCCTCTCCCTCCTCCCCGCCGTCGCCTCTTCCTCCTCCTCGCCGTCGCCTCTTCCTCCTCCCCGCCGTCGCCTCTCCCTCCTCCCCGCCGTCGCCTCTTCCTCCTCCTCGCCGTCGCCTCTTCCTCCTCCCCGCCGTCGCCTCTTCCTCCTCCTCGCCGTCGCCTCTTCCTCCTCCCCGCCGTCGCCTCTTCCTCCTCCTCGCCGTCGCCTCTTCCTCCTCCCCGCCGTCGCCTCTTCCTCCTCCCCGCCTTCGCCTCTTCCTCCTCCCCGCCGTCGCTCTCCCTCCTCCCCGCCGCTCCTCCGGCAACAGGTGCCTGGAGCGCAATCGCGGGTTGGTGAGCGAGCGCGGGTTGTTTTCTCAGGCACCGTGGTTATCAGGTGCGTTCCCGGTCCTTTCATCCTCCCTCCCCCCTCTGAAATATCCTCTTTATCTTTTCTCTCTTCGTTTGAAGAAGGGGAGAGACGGAGCGCGAGGGAGAGCGTGTGCACGGGAGCGAACGCGCAGGAGAGAGCGTGTGAGAATGCGAGTGATAAAGGACGTGAGAGAGGGCGTTAGAGAGCGTGTGAGGGAGCGCGTGAGGGAGCGCGTGAGAGAGCGCGTGAGGGAGCGCGTGAGTGTGCGCGTGAGAGAGCGCGTGGGTGTGCGCGTGAGAGTGCGAGTGAGAGAGCGCGTGAGAGCGCGTGAGGGAGCGCGTGCAAGAGCGCTTGCGAGAGCGCGTGAGCGGGAGAGACCGCAGGAGAGTGCGCGTGAGAGTGCACGTGAGAATGTGCGTGAGAGTGCGCGTGAGAGTGCGCGTGAGGGAGTGCGTGAGAGAGTGCGTGAGAGAGCGCGTGAGAGAGCGCGTGAGAGAGCGCGTGAGAGAGCGCGAGAGAGCGCGCGAGAGAGCGCGTGAGAGAGCGCGTGAAAGAGCGCGTGAGGGCGCATGAGTGGGCGTGAGAGTGGGTGTGAGAGAGCGCGTGAGAGCGCGCTCGAGTGCGTGTGACAGTGCGCGTGAGAGAGCGCGTGAGAGGGTAAGATTGCGCGTGAGGGTGCGCGTGAGAGAGCGCGTGACAGTGCGCGTGAGAGGGCACGAGTGCGCGTGAGAGTGCGCATGAGAGGGTGAGAGTGCGTGTGAGAGTGCGCGTGAGAGTGCGCGTGAGAGAGCGCGTGAGAGCACGTGAGAGAGCGTGAGAGCACGCATGCGCGTGCGAGAGCGCGTGAGAGAGCACGTGAGAGTGCGCGTGAGAGTGCGCGTGAGAGAGCGCGTGAGAGAGCGCGGGAGAGAGCGCTTGAGAGACAGTGAGAGTGCGCGTGAGAGTGCGCATGGGAGCCGCGTGAGAGTGCGCGTTAGAGAACGCGTGAGAGCGCGTGAGAGAGCGCGTAAGTGGGCGTGTGAGAGAGCGCGTGAGAGAGAACGCAAGGGAGCGCGTGCGAGTGCGCATGGGAGACCCGTGAGAGTGCGCGTTAGAGAGTGTGTGAGGGTGCGCGTGAGGGTGCGCGTGAGAGAGCGCGTGAGAGTGCTCGTGAGAGAGCGCGTGAGAGCGCAAGAGAGAGCGCGTGAGAGAGCGTGAGAGAGCGCGTGAGAGTGCGCGTGAGAGAGAACGTGAAAGAGCGCGTGAAAGTGCGTGTGAGAGAGCGCGTGAGAGATGCGGGAGAGTGCGCGTGAGAGTGCGCGTGAGAGTGCGCATGAGATGTGAGAGTGCAAGTGAGAGTGCACGTGAGAGCGAGAGAGAGAGTGCGAGTGAGTGCACGTGACATAGTGCGTGAGAGAATGTGTGAGAGAGCGCATGAGAGAGCGCGTGAGAGAGCGCGAGGATGAGTGGGTATGCGTGTAACGGTGAGAGCGAGAATGCGTGCGAGTGTGTGTGCTAGGGTGAGTGCGAGAGTTTGTGCAAGAATGAGCGTGTAGATTTGTATGTTTGTTTCTGTGAGCGTGTGTGAGTGGGTGCAAGATTGAGTACAAGAGTGAGTGCGAACGTGAGGATGAAGCTGAACACAAGGGTGGCTGCAAGGGATTGCATCATTCTGGCATAGAATCTGTGGTGCCACGACTGATACCAAGTTCCATTGCTCGTCTTTGATTGAATTATACGTATACTATTGTTCTTATTTCATTTCTAGTGCATGTGTGAGCTGCATTCTCTGTTTTCTTGTGCAATGCTGTGAGGTGTACTCTTTGCTTTTGCTTTCTACAGATGAGTTGCGTTTCCTGCTTGACCTCCTCGCAGGGAACGTGAGTTACATTATATGTTTTAGTGCCTTCTTTACCTTCTCTGCTTTTGCCTTTTTCTTGTGCAGGGCGTGTAATTTGCATTCTCTGTTTTTGCTTTGTGCAGGGCGCGTGAGCTGCATTCTTTGATTTTGTTTGGCGGAGAACGGAGATGAGGGAGGGGTTGGGAGGGAAATGAGGGAGGGAGGGAAGGAGGGGTGTAGGGAGGGTAAAGAGGGGAGAGGCTAGCGATGATTTGTTAATGGTAACTGGATTCCATTCATGATGGTTGCGTGTATATTACCAGTACCTCTGTGCTTGTTTGCGTGTGTGCCAGTGTGTGCGTGTGTGTCAGTGCGTGTGTGGTTGTGATTATTTCAGGGTGTGGTGCTGGTATGCATCGTGTGTGCAGCTGAGGTTGTCATCGTCGTTGGGGCAGTGGGTTTTCACTGTCTCAACGACCCCATCAGTCTCAACTGCAGCATTGGTGCATATCAAGCATCTACTTTGACGTCTTCACAACTTTTTTCGTGACGTTGTGCATTTCGTGTTTGTGATGTGTGTGTTTCAAAGTGAGGTGTTACAATGCATCGTGTATGCAACTAGAGGTTGTCATCGTCGTTGGTGCAGCGTGTATTCGTTGTTTCAACGGCCCCATCAATCTCTATTGCTGCATTGATACATTGTTCCATTTCTTGAAGCATCCGCATCACACTTCATACCGTGTACATTCGTACAAGTGCATTCGCTCATGTTGATGCCATGTTCGATTGTACCATCCGCCGTATTAATTGACGAGCTGGGACGGTCGGAACACAATCATGGTTTCAACATGATACGTAATTGATTTCACTTTTAGGATATCTCATTCAAGAGTGGTTCTTATTCACTATTTGAGGCATTCTCTTGAACAGTGCCAAAAAGGTTGTTCAAGTGGGTGCTTCAAAGAGTGAAAAAAAAAACACTCGGAATGATATCCCCAAAAAGTGAAATCGATTATATAGGGTTGCTACGCAACCCAATAAAACACACAACTCAACAGTTCAAAGTTCCAAAACATTACGTGTGTTTCCAGATTTCGAGTGGACCCAACTAGAAGGGGGGGGTCACTATTTTGCCTACGGGCTTTAATGCGACGACAGCTACAACTGTCCGCCACTCAGGGGGAGGGAGGTCACGGTCAATCTCGACCGTCGAGGGCAAGGATCCGGCGGTGCCGAATCAGCGCCTGTTAATTTCATGGCCGCAAGGAGCAACTACCCATTTTCCTGGCATGCTAGCGCGCAGCTCCTGGACCCCACGGCATCCTTATGGCTACCTTACCCCGAGGGGTGTTACACTCAAAAAGGCAGGGTAAGCTAGGAAAGTAGCTATGATACCAAGTGTTATGAGTTGTACTAAACAGAGTGCGCGAAATAATCTAAGAGACTGTGATTTTGGAAGCTCCGAACACAATGAAGGGACGAGCATTTATAGGGCGAAACCGTGCGAGGCGAGGACCTCGGGACGTGCGAGGGTTGGGGTTTTCGCAATTGGCGCGGGGCGACTCGGAATGTAGTTGGGCCGAAGTGTAGGCCGAATTCAAACTGACGAAGGGCTGTCCTCGCTAAGGCCGGATGCATGGCTTTGGGACATCCCGGCTTTGGGACATCCCGAATTAATTTTACGAGCCGTGTTTTTGCCGACTCGAGCTCCGGGTCTTCCGCTTCGGGAGTTAGCGAGCTTCAGCGAACATTGCGGGGCGAAAATACTTTCTCCCTAGTATTTATATCGCGTAGCTTGAGTCAGGGCTGACGTTTCACTTTAGGGCTCCCTGATGCCAAAAAAAAAAAAAAAAAAAAAAAAAAAAAAATGTATTATGAGTGGAAATTGTTCAGGAGATTGCCACCCTGTTGGCTCAGGGTTCAACAACTAGTCACTCTGATTTGTCAGGGTCGACAGCCTGAATTCAGGGTTGTGGTTCAAATCTCTGTTGGTTGATTACTGCAATGTACAGCATGTAAAACATTTCCTCCTACATTGTCTACTCTAGTGCACAGGCCTATCGATGTAGAACACTTCCTCCACATCCTCATCGTCCGAAAGGAAGGGGTTGTCCTCCTCCTCCTCCTCCTCCCCCACAAGCTCCTGATCGTCGCCCAGGGCCTGTTTCACGTCGCACTCCTCCTCCTCCTCCTCCTCCTCCTCCTCCTCCTCCTCCTCCTCCTCCTCCTCCTCCTCCTCCTCCTCCTCCTCCTCCTCCTCCTCCTCCTCCTCCCCGTCGTTTTGGCGGGCAGCTCCTGCTTCGACTTCACCCTCCTTTGCTTTCCCCCTCCTTTCACGCTCAGCCACATCAAGCTTCACGCTCTTTGCGGGGCGCCTCCTCCTCATAGACCTCCAGACCTCCAGGGCGTCCGGCCACTCGATGTCGTAATTCAGGAGCGAAATCTGCATCAGCTCCCCCAGCCGCGCGTTGCAGAGAGCGCCGCGCACCCAAGACTTGATCACATTTTGCCTCGAAAAACCTATCTCGCACTCCACAGTTGACAGGGGAAGCACCGCGATCGCCTGCCACAGGAGGACGAGGTTGGGCCACCTCCTGCCAGGCACATTGTCGGAGACGGAAGGGAAACAGAGTTACCACATGCACAAAATACATTCAACTCCAGCTTGGCATACCATGCTGTCACACTACAGGGACATACCTCTTCGAGTCTGCGCTCCCGAGAACATTGGTCAGTCCCTGCGTGAAGCTTTCCATCTCGTGGTGCACCTCCATGATCGCACAGAATGTGGGAAGCTCCCTCTCTGCGGCCTTGAGGTCGAATCCCGGCAGCTTGTGGCGGAAGAGTTTGCTGCATCCCAGAAGCCACTCACGGCACTTCTTCTCCCGTTGAGCCTTGATCTTCGGCCACTTTCAGGCCCGAAACAGCTTCGTCGGCCCCAGCTTCCCCAGGTCATCAAGCCGCTCGTTGAGATTGTCCACGCAATCGCGGGCGAAACTGCGGCACAGCTTCACGCACTCCTCGTATCCGCTCCCCACTTTGTGCCCCGGGAGCTTACGCTCGTGCATGGTGTACAGATGGTTGATTGGGCGTCCCTCCCCGTCCACGCCTCTCACACGAACCTTCTTGCCTCCACCATGCCCGTGCAGCTTCAGAAAGCCGACCAGCCCGCACTTGCCCTCGCCCCCAAACTGCTTGTCGGTATCCAAATACCGCTCCGTCAGATCCGCCGCGGTGGCCTCGATGGTATTGGAAATCTCCGTCACATCAATCTGTAACGGCACAGACATACAGGACATGTCAGGCTACAACCAACACACAAGAAAAAGTAGACAGTAGCAGAGGCGTCTTCGCGGAAGATTTAACAAACTCACATCACGCTTCTGGAAACAGCGGTTGAGGTCGTTCATGTCGGCGAGGATGTCGGCGAGGAAGAACAGGCAGAACTGAAACTTGTAGCACGTGACGATCTCGTACACCTTGTGACTCCTCTCCCAGAGAAGAACGATACACGCACCGAGCACCTTGCACAGCCGACGCACGACATCTCCGCGTGACAGCCAGCGAACCGTGTGGATCCCCTGGACTTCGAGGTTAGTGCTGTAGATCACACACTGCAGGTACTTGAAGCGTTGGCTCCAGACTGACGAATCTCCAAGTTTTGCCGCCACGGTGCGCACCACCTTGTCCACCATGCCCAGGTCGGGGTTGGACGTCGCCGCGTCCTTAACAGCCAGCGCCTCCCTGCAAAACTCATCGTAAATAATTGTTGATTAGCAAACATTCAAGCACAATGAACTGGATCAATAACTGGCACTACATCTTACCGGTGCGCGATGCAATGACAGTAAAAGAGATGCGGGACGTGCTCCCTGATCCGCGCCACCAATCCATTGTCCTTCCCCGTCATGACCGAAGCCCCGTCCGTACTGATTCCGACAAGCTTGGACACGTCGACGGCTGCAGAGCGCAGATGATTCATGAGCACCTCGAACAGGGACGCAGCATCACACTTCTCCACAGTCAGAAGGGTGAAGAACTCGGTGACGACTCGGCGGTCCTTGATGAAGGTCAGGTAAACAATCATGTGTTTACCACGCGTTCAGTCGGTGCTCTCGTCGCATTGCAGGCCCAGGAACGGTGAGGAGCTGATGTGGTCCATTTGCACATTCGTCAAGTACGTACTGAGGCAGTGAACCATCTGCTGGAAGTCGTACCTGCGCAGGGATGTATGTCAACTAGTTAGTCACCAGTGGAAAAGTAGATCATTGAACGCAATCAATACAGCAAGTTTGTAACTTAATTGTCCTACCGTGTGAGATAGACACCGTAAGACTGTCTCGGGATGTCGGGCGTGTCCTGCTCCGCGAGATGCCGCATCAGCCTAGGGTACATGCTTATCGGCGCATCGCACTTGCACAGAAACACAACCGACCGCAACAGTCGGACGGCACGCCTGCCCTCGACGTCTGAGTTGATGAAGTTCGAAATCACTTGCTGCCCCTCGCGGATGCCCCTCGCAATCTTCAGCTGCCGATCAACAGCCGCTTTGTGCGCGTCCGTGTGCTCGTGTGCATGAAACGCCTGCGTCTGCAGGTCACGGCCTCCGTCATCACCCTGCCTCGCGTACTCGTGTTCTCCTTCCCGTAGGCCATGCAGACGCTGCACTTCACATAGGGAAACCCCTCCTTGGTTTTCCCAAACACAAGCCAAGAGAACTGTCCCGACCACCTCGTGTCGTACATGATGCTGGCCTCCAGGTACATCTGCTCCCGCAGCTGCGCCTTGGTGAGGGCGGGCGAGCCGGTGTCCGCGCGGATCGGGAACACATCTTCCTCTGGCGGTGCGGCTTCATCAGGTGGTGGATCAGCCGGAGTGTTCGAAGCAGAAAGACGGCGGCCTCCGATGAGCAGGGTATGCTGCGCCCACTTCCCTGAACGCACTCTTTTCGGAGTGGAGGTAGCCGATGGAGGACCAACAGACACCCGCACGGTGCTTGGTGTGGGACTTGGCGCGGCCGGTTGGGGATCGTGGCTGCAAGAAGCAACAGCCGGGGGTAGGGTGAAGGCGGCCTCACGGGGAGACTCCTCAGGTGTGGGCGTATCTTTAACTGCAGAATCATCTACGGTAGACCTAGGTGGGTCAGGGGTTACTGGAGTAGCGGAACCTCTAAGAAAATCAAGCCCCGAGCAGCGGGCTTCAGAACGGTTCTCCGGCAAAGTTGCCTCCGTGGCTTTCGGCGGTAACGGTGGCTCATCTGAGCCAGCCTGAGGCGGATCTTCGTCAGCCTGCTGGCCTTCCATAGTGGGGAGAAGCTAGAGCTGGGGAGAGAGAGAAACGGAGAAATGAAATGAACAATGTGAACATAACAGCAGCACCAACAAGACCCTGGCTGTGGGAGGAGGGAAGCAAGAGATGGAGGGAGAAGGTGGGGTCAGCAAGAATCCACCGCGTCGCCACGAAATTGGTGGTGCGATGGTCGAAACATCGAGCCGTCATTGTATTCGGCCTTTCATGCAGGCCGAATACATTGAACGACTGCCTCACTGCCAGCGACAACTGCCACTATGTGTCTCCCGCCAATGAGGGACACGTATTGTGATGTGCGCGTTGCGCGTGGCAGTAAAAATGATGATTCTAGTTGCGCTGTCAAATTTGACAGCTGTGCTGAACATCGATGCTGTACAGTTGTGTTCTCTGTCGGTATTATGTCACTTGTGCGCGTGAAACGAATCCACCACATGGGTACGTGTGAAATCATAATTACCCACATGGGGGGGTATCTGGACGAAGCTTCTACGAAGCTTCGTCCCGATAACATCGCTTTCAGGGTCCACAGATCGCGTACTCTGTATTGACAGGGTCCTGGAAAACACTACACTGAGAGTGTACAGAGAATTTCAGGGTCCGCTAAACCAATACTCTGAATGGATCAGGGACCAAAATGTGAAAAACCTGACTTCACAGGGACCAGCAGGTGAGAAGGCTGAAATCACCCTGAAATCATGGTAATTACCCTGATAAAATCAGCCCTGGCTGGAGTGCGACGTTTCTGAATTTGTGACAAAAAGTACACTCAAGTTTTGTGCAACATTGCACATTTCAGCATCGTCCAAAATCGAAATCAGTCGCCTGTTTGCTTTGGAGATCACAACTTACAACGACGAGAGCTACGATTTCGAGTAGCCAGCTAAATATTTGTACGGAAACACCGTGAACAAGATTTTGGGATGACCCGAGGTGGTGCATTGCAGCTCGGTCTTCCCAAGATTTGGGATGACTCGAACACCGGATGTCCCGAAGCCAGGAATCCGCCCTAAGGGCAGACCACAGTAAGGAATGTAAATTCCTTACAATAGTTGTCTAGAGTTCAATAAGAATACACTGCGAGGCTAATACACTTTGATGGTCTTAGCAAGTCTATAATGTGCCGCACTCTGTGGGTGCTCACGGAGTTTGCTGTGTGGTGATGGTTGAGGTGATCATGTGGGGCCACGTGGCTTCCAATTACTCGGTTTGAGAAGATCAAAGATTTGAGTTTTGCTACAGTGGAGCGTCTCGAACAGACAAGACCTTGGGTCGCTCCGCACCACAAAACCTGCTGCTTGACCCCCTGTTTGGAAAATCGACCTGTGTGCTTTGACCCATCTTCACTCGAGGAGGGTGGATGAAATGGGAACCATATCTAGCCCGGCTGGACGAAAAAAACCCGAATTTGCAGGGTATCTGGGATAAAAAACTCGCTGGTTACAAAACTAAGTTCTTGGTCGGATCAGAGGAACTGTACAGTAAAACTTCCAAAGCTCCCTCTCCATAAATTTTCCCTCTCCTCCAAACAGTGTGTGCCGTTCTGGGACAGCAAGGTGAGCAACATTGCTCCACCGAACCAGATCTCGTTCACCTTTCTTACTCAGTGTCCATGAAGCATCCATTCTAAACGCTGACAACCGCTTCTTGCGGGGCTGCTGGTGGACTGTTGGAAAGGTATGGGTCGGTTCTCTGCTCTAGTTAGACGGCATGATAGTTACCATAAGCGATACTTCTACCATACGCGCATGGCTTTGGAATGCCATAGTTTGTAGGTGTCTGGTGCGTTGCGCACCGGTTGACCGCATTTGGCTTGTGTCAGTATTTTGACCTTGACCCTGATTGTGTTCATGCTTCTTTTTCCCCCGTAAAATGCTCCAGAAATGCTTGTCTCTGTCTCTTCGTTTGGCGTTCTGGAAATTCAAGTAACATTAACGTGCTCAGGCCAGAAAGGTTCACTCAGACATTTATGCAATTTCTGTGTCATCGCATTCGCTCCCAATCTCCCCGTGTCCTGGATCCATTAGGGTTGAAGAGCGACGCCAACATGGCGGAATCCGCGTCCAGACCGTCATCGTCGACGGCCGACGGCGCGTCTGTGTCGCATGCGCCGCCATCGCTCTCCATGCCCGCCGGTCGCGCCTCCTCCACCGCTTTCCCCTCCTCCGCCTCCACCTCCCGGCGCCGCTGCACGAGCACGGGCGCGGGCAACCTGTGGACGGACCTGGCGCTGCCATTCACGGCGTCGATCAACGACTTCGACGTGAACAACAAGGAGGAGGATGTGCACAAGATGGAGAAATGGCGCCGCTCCTCGCTTGTCCTCAACTCCGCCCGTCGATTCCGATACACTGCCGATCTCGAATCCAAGAGTCAGGTGCGATCGCTAATTGCTAGATCGGGTGTTGTGGTCAATTGTCGAGCTCCACCTCGTCGTTATCGCGCCCGCGCCCTTCCGCACTCTCGTCGTTGCGGCCTGTTTTGTGAACGGCTGGCTTGTCTTTTCAGCCATTGCGGAAGTTTCTGATCCACAACCCCTCGTGTCCGTGCAATGTTTCATCGTATTGCAGAATGCCTTGTCTCTCAGTCAGCTCCGCGTAGCCATTACCGCCGTCGAACGGTTTAAGCAAGGTAAGCCTCTCCGCTTTCGTTGTAAGCATTCACCGTACTTGCAGCATCCACGATCGAAGTTGACAGTTTTCATTATTTTTTTACTCTCCCGGAAAAGGACCACTGACAAACCACAATTACGCATTTGCGACGAGTTTCACTCAATGAGCATCGAGGTGCAAGCTGCACTGTATATTATTGCAATGAAGGTCGCATCGGCCTGGGATATATAGTTCGCTCTGCACTCGATTTTGCTCGCCAATTCTGTCCCCAATTACCGCTCGTCTCGTTCCTTCGCCTATCTTAAAGCCCCTCCCTCTCCTGCACGCGTCCCTCCTTCCGCCAGGCCTGCAAGCGGCGCAGGACTCGTCATTGCCAGTGGCGCAGGCGGAGGGCTTTTCGTACGGCACGGTGGCACTGCGGCAGCTGGTGGAGGGGGCGGACAGCAAGGCGCTGGAGCGGATGGGCGGCGTGCAGGGCGTGGCCAGGGGGCTGGGGACGGACCTGGTGGCGGGGCTGTCCGGTAGCAAGGACGACCTGGATCGGCGCGTGCGCGTGTACGGGTCCAACACGTACCCCGAGAAGCCCTTCAAGGGCTTCTTCAGCTTCGTCTGGGACGCCATGCAGGTGCGCTCGCCGCTGCCGCTGCCGCTGCCCCACGCTGCTGCGCTCCTCATAGCCATCTTCATTCTCGTGCATCACGCGCGCAACTCCTGTATCGTTCGCAACTCACATAGCAACTCGTGGCTCTCCCGCTCGTGCCCTTCCATGTGCGCGTGTGTCGACGCGTGCAGGACCTGACGCTGATGATCCTGGCCATCTGCGCCACGCTGTCGCTGGTCGTGGGCGTGGCCACGGAGGGCGTGGCGGAGGGGTGGTACGACGGCGCGGGCATCCTGCTCTCCATCCTCCTCGTCGTCTCCGTCACTGCCGTCAGCGACTACCGCCAGGCGTTGCAGGTACCCTCGCCTCCCCGCTCCCTACTCTTTGCGCCGTGTTTGGTCACCCACTTTCCGCCCCTTTCTGTCCCTCACTCCCCACAGCCCCTCCTCTACCTCCCACTCTCCTTCCCACCTCTATTCCAGCGTCAGCCATCACAGCGTCGGCTCCTTTTCCGTCTCCTCCCTTGTGTCTCGCGCTCTTCCTGCCCATCCCACTGTCGCCTGTGCGCACCTGTCCCGTAGTTTTCGGAGCTGGACCGCGAGAAGAAGAAGGTGTCGATGGACGTGGTGCGCGGCGGGCAGCGCACGCGCATGTCCATCTACGACATCGTCGTGGGCGACGTCATCATGCTCGCCACTGGCGACGTCGTGCCTGCCGACGGGCTCTTCATCTCAGGTGCGCCGCTGCTCACCCGCCGTTGCCGAATGCCCCTTCCACTCTGTGCTTGCATGTTGTGATGGTTACGTGTGGGTGCCTTATCCCACTCACGCACGTTAACGCATTGTTTGTTCTCTTGGTCTGGTATGCTGGCCTCTCTTCCTCCCGTCTGTGGCGCATGGTGCATTGTGCGTGGGTCCATGGGTGCGCGAGTGGGCGTGTACTTGGTGCGTGGGTGCGTGGTTGCGTGTCTTGCCTCACGGCTGCATGGTGCGTGGTGCATGGTGCATGGTGCGGGGTGCATGGCTGCATGGTGCATGGTGCATGGTGCGGGGTGCATGGCTGCATGGTGCGTGGTGCATGGTGCGTGGTGCGGGGTGCATGGCTGCATGGTGCGTGGTGCATGGTGCGTGGTGCGGGGTGCATGGTGCATGGTGCGTGGTGCGTGGTGCATGGTGCGTGGTGCATGGTGCGTGGTGCATGGTGCGTGGTGCATGGTGCGTGGTGCATGGGTGCGTGGTGCATGGGTGCGTGGTGCATGCATCAGGGTACAGCCTGGTGATAGACGAGTCGAGCATGACGGGCGAGAGCCTGCCGTTGCAGAAGAACAGCGAGGCGCCGTTCCTGCTGTCGGGCACCAAGGTGCAGGACGGCAACGCGAGCATGCTGGCGGTGGGCGTGGGCATGAACACGGAGTGGGGCAGCCTCATGGCCAAGCTCACTGACGCCGGGGACGACGAGACGCCGCTGCAGGTCAGACCTGCACCCCGCCCTTGTGGACGGACTGGGGGGAAATGGGGACACTGGGTAGGAGGAAGGGGGGTTGGTAGGGGAGGGAGGGAGGATATACGGAGAGGGAGTAGTGGGAAGTACATGCATGCTTCTCAACCCCACCACCCCCCCCCCTCCGCTCTCTGTCAATCCTTCTCCCGCTCAAGCCTTCCACCGTTCCTACGCTCCTCCGCTCACTCCTGTGTCCCGGCACAGCCCAGCACCGTACCACGGTGACCTGACCTGGAACCCCCTTGTGTGCCCGTCGGATGACCCCCCTGTGGTGGAACAGGTGAAGCTGAACGGAGTGGCGACGCTGGTGGGGCGGCTGGGGCTGGTGGTGGCGGTGCTGGTGTTCATCGTGCTCATGGGCCGCCAGCTCGCCAACACTGACTTGGCCAAGTGGGGCATGCCTGACACACTCAAGGTCAACCCCCTCCTGCCATGCCTGCCACCTCTCCACCCTTGCCTCGCACACTCGCTGCTTGTTA